GGTCGGAAGCACTCATATTTGTGGGGAAACTCGGTAAAATTAACCCAGTTTAATTACGATTTTTTGTAGAAGATGTTCAACTTTTACAAGTAAAATATCGAAAATCCCGCGCCATCAATCTCCAGCCACATGTGGCAGCTTCAGTTTAGAGCATTGATGACTCTGTAGCTTCCAAATTGAGTGAAAATTTGGGAAATACGAACAGCCCTGTTTGCTACTGTGTGAGCCACAATTTTTTCTATAATTGTTTATGTCTCCATGTACTAGAGGAAAGGAAACAAACCAGAAGACAGTTGATATCAACATGAAGCACAGCAATCGTATATTTAAAGTTCATCACATATGTCGTCATGGTCAACATTTAAAAGAGAATTTATTATAGTACATTCATCTACAGGGTGACCCAAAATTACGCGATATTTTTTTTTGAAATTTCAAACAAATTTATTTTCAAAAACAACATAATATTTATTCAAAATGTCCGCCCTCTGCTTCGATCACTGCATCTAATCGCCTCATCCAATCGTNCGATTCTGAACGAAGTAATGTTTCCCAGTATGTCGCTTGCTTCAACGATCAACAGAATCATGCGCTTCTACATTTACCTCAGCCATAAGAATGCTCCAAATTGCGCAATCAAGAGGATTCAAATCTGGAGATGAGGCAGGCCATTCAGCCCTGTTGATGAAATCCGGAAAATGCTCATCCAGCCACTTTTGCGTCAGAATCTTGAACTTCTGCGCGTTTTCCCTGAAGCTCGCATGAGAAGGGGCGCTGTCCTGTTGGAATGTCCACTCATTCCAATAACCTTCCTCGTCTGTTCCATAGTGTCCCAGTGTCCACTCTTCTATCGGCTCCAGAATGTCTTCGCGGTACACATCAGTGTCGATCTTGATACCGGCTTTGACGAAGATGGCGGCGCCTTGATGTCATAACCAATTCCAGCCTAGACCATGACCCCCTTTGGCGTCATTTGACGTTGAACAATCAGTTCTTCTTCTGTGGGGCGTTCATCGGCCCAAATTCGATCGCGCTGCGGATTGTGAGCTTCCTCAATCGTAAAGAATTTCTCGTCGGTGAAAAGAATCCGCGGGTGTCGTCCATCAGCGAATCTTCTCTTCAATGCTTCGGCCCTTTCCAAACGCTTCTGTTTCTGCCCTGCGTTCAACTTTTGCCCCTTCTTTTTTTCCATGGCTTTAGCTTCAGGTCCTCTCGAAGAATTCGTCGAGTAGACTCACGAGGAATTCCCATCTTTTTGCCAAGTTTTCTCAGGGAGTTGCCGGTTACGCCATTTCTTTTCTTTGTCTGGTTGTTCAGCCTCAAGTGCTCTCTTGCCTCTTCGATGTGTGTCACATCTGTTGAAGTTTGCTTGCGACCTTGGCCCTTCCGATTCTTGTGCTCCCCGGTCTCCTTTTGCTTCATCTTTCTAACCTCAACCAAGTAGCAAGTAGCTGGACGAAACCAATCGCTCTTGAACTTCACGGTGATGGTAAAATGACAATCGAAAAATTCGAAAGAACGACCGAAAATAATAGGCCTGTAGCAACAAATGTAAATGTTAAAACTTTGGCCAAAAAAGATACATTTTACGTTTCTTTTATCAGCTGCGC